GTATGATGAAATTTTCAGCTATATTCACTGTTTACTTTGTCTGTGGTAGTCGCTAAGGTTCGACGTGTTTTTCTGAGCTCGGCGATTTTTACAATGGAAGAATTGAAAAGTCAAAGAATTTGTATTAAATTTTGCGTAAAAAATGAAATAAAGTGTTGCAAAGTGCAAAAATTCACCAGATATGGCTCCGTGTGACTTTTTCCTATTCCCAAAGTTGAAGAGACCCATGAAAGGACGGCGGTTTTCCTCGATTGAAGAAAATCGCTGAGAGTGCTCAAGGACATATCAAAAAGTGAATATCAAGGGTGCTTCGAAAATTGGAAAAAACGCTGGCATAAGTGTATTATATCTGGGGGGGACTACTTTGAAGGGGACCACATTAATGTAGACGAATAAATAAATATTTTTTTGAAAAAACGAAAATTCCGGGTACTTTTTGAACAGACCTCGTATACACTTGCCTTTCAAAATAAATCGTTAATAAAATATAAAAACAACCACACATACAATAATAATAAAACATTCTTAGAGCAACAAAATATTTTGAAACAATCGCCATAGATATACATTATAGTTACATTTCGTTTTTTTATGTTGGTACTGCTGGGGAGAATTATCTAATGCTGGTACTGACATGAATATAGTTTTAACTAAAGTGTCACCATTATTGATTTTTAAATTTATGAAATGACAAAATTTTTGGAGTTTGTTAAGGAGAATTTTTACGAAGTAGGTGATTATAAAAATATAGTAATATTGTAGAAATAAATAAAAAAATGCAGAAACTACATGTCATTGTTTGACATTGAAAATATTTTGACACGTGAGTACTGTCATTTGCCAGAAATTTCAATTCACTTATGAGCCTAGACAATATTAGAATATGATATATTCATGATTATGAATAAGTAAAATGTAATATCTACATTATTATTGCAGAAAAGCAGCTGAGACGTGCCAGAAATTAAAATAATATAAGATACAGTATATGTTTGACAGATGAAATTATATAATTTGATAGATTTTTTTTCTACTTATGCATGTCGAATTTTGCCTTACTTTACTAAATTATTTCACAATACAAAAAAAAATTTATTCAAATAATTATTTAGAAGTTTCATTGTATCAAAAATGTTTTAGTCATAGATAAACAAAAAAATATTTATTTATACGTCTACAGGTATGAGTAAAAATATTGTATAACCCTTGACAATAAAATAAATTGAGCTATTGAAAATAAATTTGTTCTAAATATTGTGGAAACTGCTCCTAACCAGTTATTCGAATTTTGATAAATCATTTTGGAATTTATTAAGGGAAATTTTTAAGATGTGAATGGCTTTTATTCTAAAGAACTTTAAAATGGCTTTTACTTTAAAGAACATATATCGATATTTGTTTGTTTGATATAGTATAGTATAGTATAATTAAAGCGTTAAAGTGTGGAAATTGAAAATCATCATTCATATTGATGTATATACCTTTCGGTGTAAATAGTAATAATTAAAGAGTTAAAGTGTGGAAATTGAAAATCATCATTCATATTGATGTATATACCTTTCGGTGTAAATAGTAATAATTATTTTTAACTAAAAGGTAAATATTAGTATAGAATATTGCAAAATTTGGAACTCTTGAATGGTAGACCTGTGTACAGAACAACGTCTGTCGGGACAGCTAGTATATATACACATATATATATATATATATATATATATATAAATTTGTGTATTTGTATAATAAAGAAATAGTTCTGAAGCCCGTGTTGTTGTTTCCTTTGTTAAGTTTGCCAAAATTTCTAGGTTATATTAATAGAACACAATACTCTAACCTTCATTTGCGAAAGAAACAATATTATATTGCATGCGGACAAGGAAACCGACACATTTATTTTTGACTTTATAATATATATTGTAGCTATTTTGCTCATAGGCAGGTCCGTTGTATGCAAAAATCACAACATATTCACCTGCCCTTTCCTTCTTTGACACTTTCTACTTTCGCTTCTTTGTATCTTATATTATTTTAATTTCTGGCACATCTCAGCTGCTTTTTGGCAATAATAATTTCATTTCATTTACATGTCATTTTTTCTATTCATAATCATGAATTTATTCTAATATTGTCTAGACTCATAAGTAAATTGAAATTTTGGCAGATGACAGTTTTCATTTGTTTTCAATGACAAGCAATGTCTCAAATATTTTCAATGTCAAACAATGACATGTCGTTTTTTGTAATTTTTTTCCTTTTATTTCTATAATATTACTATATTTTCATAATCACATACATCATAAAAAAATCCCTTAAGAAACTTCAGAAAGATTTATCAAAATCCGAATAATCGTTTCGGAGAAGTATATTTACATACATCATTACAGAAGAATTTTATATATTATTATTCTTATAAAAATGAAGCTCAGTATTATGTTAGGTATGGTAAAACTCTAAAATGGCTGTACAAATTTGGCCAATCTTAGTTTTGAAAAATTCGTGCTAATCAGTAGATTGTCGGAAAGGTGAGATATTATTTCGAAATCGCGTAGAAACTTTACTTTTTTAATTTGAAATTTTTTGTAGAAGCGTAATTTGAATAAAACAACGGACGGTGGCTAATACGTCAAGTGTCAAACGTTTTTGACAGATTATGTTTAGTTACATTTAATAGGATGTTTTTGATGAATTTCATTTAATTGTAGTAAGTAGATTCATTTGTAGTTTTATTTATGCACAGAAATATTATAAAATGCATCGCAAGTGTTGTTAGAAATTTAAAATATCAACTTTTTTGATAACTTTGAAATGACAATTTTTGGATTCTCTAGAAATTGTTCACAAATATGGTGAAACCATGTTTGCTGGGTCAACTAGTATATATATAATATATATATATATATATATACATTTGATTTCTTGTTTTACAAATGAATTTTCTGGCTCGTCTGAACAGATGGGAAAATCGCCAGTTGTCATTAGTTGAGACATTATCAAATCCATCATGCGGAGATTTATATATCAATCATTGTCGATACATAATATATATACATATATATATATATATATATATATATATATATATATATACGAGTATATATATTCGTTTTCTAGAATTTCATTCAACATCCAAAAAACTCACACGTGCCTACTGCCTTATGAGAACTTCACACGAATTTTGGTGTCAAGGGTGAAAGCACACGACAGATTTTTTTAATTGAATAAGACGATAATAGAGGGTGTTTTTGAAAAATGAAGAATTCCAAAGAATTGCCAATATATATATTTAGAGAATTGTAAAAATGATTGACTCTTTTTATTCAATTTATTTATTTTCAAGTATTAAATCTCTAAATTTTTGTTAAAATGTTTAGAAAGAAGCAGACAAATAAGAAAATCTAACATGTTTATAAAACAAGTTGATTAAAATAAGTTAATATTAAAAAGTTTCAACAAAAATATAAAAAAAACATAAGTTTTTATATCGAAGCTTGTTAAAAAGAAATAAAAACAAAAACTGCTGAACCTTACCCAAAATAAGTTACATAAAATGAAAAAAAAATAAAACAAGTTGCAAAAAGTTCCTAAACTCCCCAAATTCTATTTAAGAAAGTTGAAAAATACTAAAAACCATTAAATTTATATACTGTAAAATCATTTTACAATAAAAAGAGAAACGTCTCTAAAATAAAATAGCAAAAACAAAAGTCTCTTGAATTATTTAATGAAAGAAACTAAGTGCTTCTAAAGCAAAATGTAGAAAACTAAAAGTCCATAAAATATTTCAATAGAATTATTTTAGAAAACAACGAAATCATAGAATTTCTTATTGAAATAAAATTTATAATATAAACTGGTAACAAGTTGTTAATAAAACTGAACTAGTGGGGAGCATGGCTTCGTGCCTTAACGCAAATTGCTCGAACTTCCCGTACCGTAATCAAAAGTCTTGGTACGGAACCCAAAAAAATTTACACAAAATGTGAACACATTATTAAAATCTTTATAAAATATCTGATAATTTGTCCATACATATGTCCAATAAACATTTTTGAACGCCAAATGACTTATTTTTATCGAGAGTCCATAACCGCTGGACCTGCCTTCTCAAAAATTTAATCAGTTCTTCATCTTGTCAATGCAAGTAAAATGTTTTTTCCATTATTAAAATCGGACGCTCCGTTCTCTTAAAAACTGAGTTATCGTTTTTGGCACTTTTTGCCCCGTATCTTCGGAACGGCTGGACCTGCCTTCGCCTAAAACTAATCAGCACGTCTCCTTGTCAATACAAATCGAATGTTTCTTTGAATTATTCAATTCGGTTGATCCGTGTTCCTGAAATCGTCGACAAAAATTTGTATCGCACACACATACACGCACATACACACACACATACATCCATATTTTCTAAGGTATGCCAAAATATTCAGAAACCTTTGAAACGTAAATATATATAAAAATTTTAATTTCCGATTTTTTTGCGATTACTAGAACTTATCCTACGGAAAGTAAAAATATAAAGTGTAGAATAAAATGTTAAAAACATTTTAAAACATTAAATATTTTAGTAATGTTATATACCAATGTTATATATATTTAGCAATGTTACATACCAACAGAAAACTTTATCCAAATTGGTTAAAAAACAATCAACATAAAATTATTTTAAAAAAAATCAAAATAATGATATAATGATTCAAAAAAAAAAATAATAAAAACAAGGCAAAAAAATAAAATTAAATTAATATTTATCATAAAATATTAAATAAACTAATAAAAATAAACACAAACAAATAAAATATTAAATTCTATCTAAAAAATTACATTTGCAAATAATAAGTAATTAAATAATAATGATTATTATTATTTTTTCCTGTCAATATCGATAAATGTCAAGGTCGAATTATCGATACCGTCACCGAAACCTTTTGGCAATCGATATTATATTATAAATGTATTATTTTCAGTAAAAAACAGATCAGCTGTATCTTTTTTTAGAAACGATTCGTGAAGTCTCAACGGATTCGTTTCGTTCCTCAGTTCAGTGCATTAACGGCTCTCGCCGAGTGAACTGCTCCGGAGTTCTATTTTTATTTGTTTGTGAGATTTTTTAAATAAAAATCGGTGAGTGAAATAGATTAATTAGTAATATATAGATTAAGGATAATGTGGAAAAAATTCAAACGGTTCATGACAAGCGTTTCGGAGATATAAGGGCTTTTAGATTCCGTTAATGAAATTTTTTTTTGGTAAAAATTGTTTTATTTTTTACAAAAATGAATTAAATCATTTTTTATAAAATTCATTAGGTTATTAGTAACTTTCTTAAAATATATTTTAATTATATACATATTATTGTACATAATTTCAGATATTATAATACGTTAATTTTATTTAACGGTGATTTAATCCGTTATTTATTATTAAAGAGTATAGTTTTCGTTAATAAACTTTTTTGTTCAAAATTATTTTATCCATTGTAAATTTATATTACATTTTTTTTTTCGCAAAATTGGTTTAGTTCCTGTTCTTGTTAACAATTTAGAATATGTTATAATTAAATATTTATTATTATTCTAAACTTCTAGGTATTATGATCCGTTAATATATAAATAAATAATATTTATATATTAACGGATTATAATATTTTGTTGTTGAAAATTTTTGTGCAAAATGCTTTATTTACGCCATTTTTTTCAAAATTTAGTTAGTTATTAAGTTAGTTAGTTATTATGTTAGTTAGTTATAACACTTCAGAAATAATTAAATATAAATTTATTATAATTCGAAGTTTAAGACTGTTATTATATTTTATTTAGTCAATTTAAAACATACTCATAGATATATGCATGTTTGAAATATAAATATATTGATAATTCATATTTATTCATATTTATTTTGAAAAAACCTTTTTTTTCTTTAAATCCGTTACACAACACGACGTATCATAAATTATTATTTTAATGCTTAATATTTGAAAAAACAAATACCCTAAAATCATCTCAAAATGATTCTCAAAATCATCACAAGTATTGAAGTAAGCCTTCAATCACAAATCAAAAATCATTAAAATGTTGTTAAAATATTTTGAAAACAAAAACAAAAAACCTAAAACAAGTTGTACAAAACAAAATAGTGCAATGCAAAAGTTTTGGTCAAATTAAAACATTTTTAAAAAAAAGTAATTTCAAATTGAAGATAAAAAAGCTTTAAATGCTTTAAAAAATTGCTGAAACAAGCTTATTAACAAAAACCCTACAAAATGCAATTTTAACTCTAATTTTAGCACGTTTCATATAAACATTGTTAAAATAAAGTAAATATTAAACAAACTGAACAACATTCTCATGATGGTTCGAAACCAAGCTAAATTTTTATTCAAGTTCATACTGAAGTTATTAACAAAACAATATTATTAATATTTTAGCTTATTATTTACTACAATAATCTATTTATATTTAAAGAATAATTAATTAGTAAAATAGTAAACAAATAGATTTATGAATCAAGAATGAATAATAGTCAGAAGCATGTACAACAACTTAACAACTTGTCAACTGTAATGGCTTTAGTATGTACGAATTGAATAAAATCGTGCCAAATGCAAATCTGGTGATTCATAATTAAATACAAATGTATACCATGACACATACAAATCAGGAAATTAAAATTCATTATAAAAATCGCCATAATAAAATTAACTAAATAAATTTAATAATTTAAGTTTTATAAATAATAACAAATAATAATAAAAAACAGAACAAAGATAAGATAAGAAACTTAACAGAATTAATAATAAATGTATCTGCACTGAAACCATTAAATATAAATAAATAAATAAATAAATAAATGTATAAAATATTATTAGGATTTTCCAAAATAGTGTCTTGCCTATATTTATTTTCTTTTTATTACAAGTTGCATATTATTATTATTTAATTTCTCTTCAACGGATTAATGGTATATCAGCTAGTGTATTTTAACGCCGTTATGTTGTCAATACTATCATGTGTGAAGTTATCCTTAAACAACCTTGTGAACCGTAGCGCCTCTTGTGCATTTTCATAGAATTAACATATTATTTGAATGTAATTATAAATTGAATTTAAATTACCGACGCTCCGGCCCTTATAAGTAGCATATTATTATTATTATTTAATTTCTCTTTAACGGATTTATGACATATCAGCTAGTGTATTTTAACGCCGTTATTTTGTATACTATCATGTGTGAAGTTATCCTTTATGTTGTCAATACTATCATGTGTGAAGTTATCCTTGAACAACCTTGTGAACCGTAGCGCCTCTTGTGCGTTTTCGTAGAACTAACATATTATTTAAATGTAATTACAAATTGAATTTAAATTACCGCCGCTCCGGCCCTGTTCACGAGCCCGCCGGTATATTTTCACCAAGAGAACAATGCGAACAATGCCAAAATCTATTTCAGGAAATCTTCCTGTAGTTCCTGCTCTAAAAATGACGACAGACGGACAGAAATCCCGGGATTTCAACGAACAACAAATAAATGACACCTGACATAAGGTGTCATATGACACACGGGTGTCATTAACAAAAAAAATGATACATGACACAGGAATGTATGTCAAAAAATAAATGATAACTGATATGAGGTGTCATATGACACACGAGTGTCATTAACTGAAAAAAATGAAACATGACACAGGAATGTATGTCAAAATATATTTTTGACACTATGTGCCATGTGTCAGTTATTTTTGTCAGTGGTATTACAAAATATCTATTACACTTATTTAACACTGAACAAATGTTAATGATACTTGACACGAGCATATGAAAATGAGCATATGAAATTGTTTCTTGGTAGTGAAAACTGTGAAAGTCTATCTAATTGCTGCACGATCAATGATATGAAATGAACATCGTCTTTGTGATGCTGATCGTACAGCAATTTGATTTTTTAGATTAGATATTTTCACAGTTCTTACTACCAAGAAAGAAGGATAAGACATCGTTGCCATAACAACGCTCTGTTATCGGCTGTGTCACCACGGAATTGGCCCCATAGGGACAGAATTGGCCCTGAAAAAGTTGGTAGTCATGAACGGTCAAAACCTATATATATATATGCAATCAAGCGTTTTACTCTAAATCTACTACTAGAACCTAACCTCCAAAAAGCTCAAATGTTAAAAATTTGATATATTTATTAAAATAAGTATTTACCTAGAAAGAAGAACCAACAAACTTTACTTGGATTGCGAACTGTCTTAAAGTTAATATTGAGAGCTAAAACTTCCAGAGATTTTTTTTTATCAATTTTGAAGCATATGAGCAAGCCCCTGGAAGCAAGGCAATTTGTAAATATCAATAATATTAAGGACCACGCCAAATATATAATGATAAATATTCATCAAATTAAATCGAGACATATTATGATACATCATAAGAAGTCGTTTAACGCATTTCACAAACGATACGTAACACATTAATCAAAATTATATTAAATATATACATACATACATACATATATATATATATATATATTTAGATATATACATAAGTATATAGTATCAGAGACAAAATTGGCAACCAGCCAATGGGCAATTCATATAATATCTTTATTACTTCATAAACATCATGTCCATTAATTCATGCCGCGGTTTAGTTTTTTAAACAAACTTCAGAGCACTTCAAAATTATATTTATATATAGTAAAACCCCGTTAATACGATCATGCTTCAACACATTTTCCGAATAATACGCCGGTCTACTCACTTTAACACTTTCCACTCGCGAATTCCAAGATTTACATGAATTTTGCGGCATCCAAGTGGAAAGGGTTAAAACATGTTGTTGTTGTCTCTATTCCAATTAATACAATTTCTCGTGTAAGACGCGTTTGTGGTCCGGTCTCTATAAAATTGTCTTAACAGGCTTTTTTTAAATGTAAGTGCTTATAAATTGGAGACGACCGCAACTTAAGTATGTTTACAAGAAATATAAACATATATGTATAAACAAAAATCGACCGATTTTTAATGAATAAATCCCAAAAATAAATTATAAATTAAATATTATAAACAAGTTCTAAGTCTATTTACCTTTTTAGAATTTGAAATAATGTCGGAGGAAGTAGCAGCACCAACCGTCCAGGAACCTGAGCCTATTCCTGAAATCAGGCATCGCACATTCAAACATTGGGTCAGGTCTGTTGGAAATAAAATTAATAATAAGTTTTAAATAAATAATAATAGATCAGTCTTATTTTTAATATTATTATTTTACTATTTTCAAAGATATTATTTCTTCTATTTTAAAGATAAGTTATTCAAAAGACTAGGGCCATATATAAAGCGTTTAGTACATAATAGTTCCGGTACCAGACACAAAACTGCACTAGGTTACCATTAGAAGTCATATAAAGTTTTATCTCATGTTAGTGTTTTTTATCGCAAACATAATTACATAACAATCACAAAATAATTGAAATATAATTACTAAATAATTCCACATTCCATAAAATTTAAAAATATCATATGAATCATTTGAAAGACTAAAGCGTTTAGTAGACAATAGTTTCGGAACCAGACATAGGGGCGCGCTAGTGTAACATTGAAAGTCATTTAAACTTTAATCTTATTTTAGTGTTTTTTTATCGCATAGTTAAATACACAACAATTACAAAAAGATTATAATTACAAAATGATTTTACATTCCATAAAATTTAAAAATATCTCAAGAATCTAGAGAACATAGATAAGTTCTTTGAAAGACTAGAAGGCGTTTAGTACATAATAGTTCCGGAACCAGACATAAGGTTGCGATAGTGTACCATTGAAAGTCATATAAGTTTTTAATCTTATTTTCATGATTTTTTATCGCAAGGTTAAATACATAGCAATCACAAAAGAGTTGAAATACAATTACAAAATGATTTTACATTCCATAAAATTTAAAAATATCTCATGAATCTAGAGAACATAGATAAGTTCTTTAAAAGACTAAAGGGTTTAGTACACAATAGTTCCGGAACCAAACATAGGGGCGCGCTGGTGTATCATTGAAAGAGATATTAGCTTTTTATCTTATTTTCGTGTTTTTATATAGCTAGATTAAACACATAACAATCACAAAAGGATTAAGATTACAAAATGATTTTACATTTCACAAAATTTAAAAATACCTCATGAATCTAGAGAATTAAATAGACATAAAATAGACCTTAACAAGAAGCCCGAATTAATATTTATCAGTATTGTTTACTGCTTTCTTATGGATAAACTAAGAAAATAAATAAAATAAGTGTACAGAAAGTTGCAAAACAACATAAACTCAACAAAATAAGTCAATGTATCCAATTGACTTATTTTGTACTCCCCTCTTATCTTATTGTAAGATTACAGATCAAATCGTACATTATTAAAAAAACACAAACAAGTTGTAAAGAATGAATATGATAAATATATCATATGAATATTTTTCATTTTAAAATCAATTAAAATTAGTTTTAAATTCGAAAGCGACACTAGCGCGCCCGCGAGTCAGATCTCGAAACTAATAAATATAAACACATTATAGACAAGGAAACAAAACATAATCTTCATTTTAGATTTTCTTCCCATTTCATTTAAAATTGATTTAAGATTAAATAACAAATATATTCTCTACCAGAGCCAGATTGAAAAGAAAATTTCTTCTGCATTAATCAACAATAGATAAAACCTTCGACAAATCACTGGCAATGGTCAGATGATTTATATGTTGCCAACGCCTTCAGTTTAATGTCAAATATTTTACTTGTACTCCGTTTCAGGACAGTCGTAAAAATTAATAAAATAATGAAAAAATAATATTCTTAAAGTTAATTAAATAATTAAATTTTGAAGTAACGGTTAAACGGCGAATACAACGCCGTTAATAGTACACAGTGATACCAACTACAAATGCATCTACAATGATTAATTGCACACACACACACACACATATATATATATAAATATATATATATATATATATATATATATATATATATATTATATAAGTTTATTTTCAATCGAATTTATTATTTTCCTCGGCGGACAAGATTTATGGCACTCGATTTGATTTTTATTTATTTTTAATTTTATATTCATGTTTTTTTTCTCAAAGATGTCACACGAGCGCGAATGCAAAAATCTATTTTTAATGAAATCTATGTCGGTCGTTTAAAATAGATAAAAAATGTCAACGCTAGGATAAACATAAAAACAGACATTGATTTATTAATATACAATATACAATATATATATATATATATATATATATATATTATATATCGCCACATGGAAAAGTTTTAATTAGCTTTCCTATTTATATTTTACCTCTATTATATGCTGAAGCGATTAAAACTGAAGTGATAGAAGTGATGTCAAATAAGATTTTGAAGTGTACCGAGACTCATAATATTAGACATTAATATAAATTATTTAATTTTGTAAAAAAAGATCAAATACATCATTCAACCTAATAGAAAGGTTTGAAAATTGCAAAATATTTAATAAATAAATGCCCAAACATAATTCTCAATCTATGATCAAAGATGGCGCTGACCACAGATCAAAGATGGCGTACCGTAGATCAAAGATGGCGTTGACCATAGATCAAAATGGCGTTGACCATAGATCAAAAATGGCGTTGACACTACCAGAGCGCTACAAAAAGTAATTAAATTATTTCAAATAAGCTATTTTGTAATAAATAAACCTTTTGTAAACAATTAAACAAAAGCTAAACAAATCTCTTTAAGGAATTCATTTAAGTTGTTAGGGATCGTTCAAGTATTACGTAAGCAGATTTATTACAATTATTTACACCCCCATCCCCCTTGTCAGCAAAAGTAAGCAAAGCTCTTACCCCCTCCCCCCACGCTTACGTAAACATTTTGCAATTAATGTAAAAAAATCAAAATACTACCTATGACGTAATCATCATCCAGACTCCCCTGCCCCCCATGTCAACTCAAAATAAGCAAATCAACAACCCCCCGCCCCCTATAGAGCTTACGTCATATAAAAGCACCATAAATAAATTTATTTCATAAATAATTAGTCTAAATTATCTTATCTTTTCCTTTTTAGACCAAAAACCCAGCAATACCATTACATAAATGATTACATGAGAAACTACTACGACGATGTCTTGGATTACTTAGACAAACGTCAAAAGGGTCTCAGAGTGCCCCCACCGAGACCCCAATATTGGGCCGAAAGGGCCCTCAGGACATACTTAAAGTTAGTAGAACACACCCACGTACATATTTATCTATATCAAAATAATTCTTATTTTATTCTTTAGCAAATCTTCATCTTACAAACAAGCCGAAATAGAAGACACCATTTTGAGGTCACACATCAGGACAGACAACAGATTCTATCAAGCCCATTACAAAGGCTACAACGAACGTAGATATACATTCAATTTATAAATAATTTGTTTGAATTTGATTGTGAATCTGATGTGAATTAATAGAAATATAAAGATCAATTTCATGTATAGCTTATTGTAATTTTTTTTAAAAAAAAAGCCCGGTCCGATTTCAACATGGCGGCGTCCGTCTCTAAAATTCTCCAGCATTTAAATTGTTATTATGTAAAAATACTAGTATATACGTTCTTTGATTAATTTAATTAATATAAAATGGTAATAGATTTATAAAACAAACTAACTTTATTTCTAATTTGTTAATTGTAAACTGCGTCAAAACTATCAAAATAGGTTGATCCGTGCGCCCGAAAACGTGGACGAAAAATTGTATCCATACATACATACACACACACATCCATTTTTTCTGAGGTATGCCAAAATGTTCAGAAAACTTCAAAACGTCGAGAAATGTAAAAATTTTCGGCCCATTTTAATAACTTACCCTACGGGAAGTTAATAAATTAATTTATAAGTAAATAAAAGTATTCCGAGTGGATTTATTACACATTATTGAAAACGAAGGAACACGTTAACTCTCGGAATATTTTCTGAAAGAAAATTTTCAAAAATCAATATTTTTTAATATTGAACCAGTTTCTAGAGGACTTTAATGATTTAGTGTGTTTATTGGGGCCAAGTACTCTATCGTTATACCAAGTAAATCGTCTAATTTTAATTTTAACTAACGTCAAAAAACTACTCATTTTCTTAAACTTTGATGAATTTTTAAAACTAAACTACTTGTCGTAAGGCCGTAATATCGCAGTAAGTTCTATAAGACCATGATATATATCGCTAAAAAAAATTCCACAAAAATCGGCTTAATTTTTTTTTTAACAGTTAATTACAAGAAAACGGCTCGGTAGATTTTCACCTAAAACTAATCAGTATCATTACCAACTAATATCTTTCGAACAGTTTTTGATTTTTTGAAATCTGTTCGGTAGTATGAGCTTAAATGGTTTAAAAACGAAAAGTTTAACACTTTTTTTTCAAATTACAAAGAAACGGCTTGGCAGATCGTCGCACAAAACTGGCAAACAATAGTCCTCATCGAAATACATCAAATGGCTTTTAAATTTCTGAAATCGGTTTAGGTTATTAGGTTTAGGCGTCGATAAAAGGTCTAATTTTAACAAATGCCTAAAAAACGATACCAATTTTTGCAAACTTTGACGGATTTTTAAAGTTAAACCAATTGTCGCAGGGCCGTAATATTTTAGTATGATCTAGAAGACTATGGTATCTACCGTCAAAAAAATAATGATAAAAAATCGTCGAAAAAAAATTTTTAACGATCTTTACCAAAAACTAATCAGCACGATTCCCAACCAATATCTTTCGAACGGTTTTTGAATTTTCAAAATTGATTCAGAATTGCGGGCTAAAACGTGGACGAAAAATTTTCCACCTTTTGCTATTTATAAAGAAACGTCTCGGCCGATCGTCGCACAAAACTGACAAACGATAGTCCTCACCAAGATACATCGATTGGCTTTTAAATTTTTGAAATCGGTCCAGTCGTTTTTGAGAAAACGTCGATTACGGCAAAAAATCTGTTCACATACACACACACACACATATACTTTTTCCAAATTTGGTCTCATTCTATTCAGAATGGCTTGAAACGTCGAGAAAACATAAAATTAGCAAATCGGATTTTTTGATGAAAACATAAACTTCTCCTTCGGGAAGTTAAAATGTTGTATGAATATAAATAGCCAATGAAAGAAATGTAAAAATTAGACATTTTGAAGTGGAATACCCTAGGGTAGAAAGATTTGCATCATAAATTATAGTGAATGATATAATTTGTAATTTATATACTGAAATAAATTTTCTTTCTATTCTGTTCTGTTATTCAAAAAGTAATTGAAATTTCAATTAAACATGAGTATTGCACAAATAAATTATAAGAACATCCATAAATAAATAAAATAAATAGATAATTGATATATAATGCCCTTGAATCATAACCAACTCGTTAAACTTTTATGCAATTCATATAAAATAATCAGTTTTTTTGTTGCATATATATTAAACAAATATAAAAATATATTGAACAAATATATTAATATTTGTTCTGCAACATATCAAAAATCTAATTTATTTGTAATTTTATATTGCCAAATGTTTAAGATTCAAATAAAATAATTCTTACCTTGTTAAATAATGCAAATCCTTCAAGATTTTGTATATCGGCAAAGTTTCACATTCACAATAAGTCTCAAACAACTTATTAAATATTATACAAATCACTACTTCGATATAGCAATTAAATTATAACACATGTATTTAGAATCACAATCTTCATATATATTAAAAAGGTTAACTTATATATTTAAAATATGATCACTTATTTTTATAGAACAATAAGTTGTCTCTGATGCACAAAACAAGATCACGTATTATAAATACATCGACACATGTAATATATAAGAAAGTATATTACAGCAAAAAATATTTGTTCACAAATTGAATTATCTTTTTGCATTCTAGCAATTCAGCCTCATTTTTTCTTCAATTTTTGTAGGAACCAAATTTCTGCGGTGTTTCCTCTTCTCTCATTTTTGAACTACAATCAGAGCATATTAGTCTTTTAGCTATTTTACTCGAACTCCACCATTTTACACTGTTTTGGCAACTCAATGGTCAATATATCTATATTTATCAGAACTTCTGATATGTTAAAAAAATCGGTTTTGGTTGAAAATATTTTCATATCTGTTTATCTCATACATATTATTCAAATAGTTTATTATGAGCATTTGGAATTAATTCTTTAATAAGGTATACACAGATTATAATACCTTCAAAGATTTTGTATGGTTTTATGAGTACTATTTTAGTCCTTTTATTTGATAACTCGATCTTTTTCATTCAGAACAAAACATTTTTGATTTATCTCCTCCAATTCCAAAATTGTTTTGAAATTTGGTCTCAGAGTAGAAACGGTGCATTTATTAATGTTTGCAAAGTTTTCAGATAAAGTGAATAACTATAATAATTAATGGAATTAATTCTTCAATAAGGTATACACAATTCATAATACCTTCATAGATTTTGTATGGTTTTATGAGTACTATTTTAGTCTTTTTATTTGAAAACAATGTTTTTCCTTCAGAACAAAACATTTTTTACTTTATCTCCTCCAATTCCAAAATTGTTTTCAAATTTGGTCCAAATGGTAATAATAAATGAACAACTTTATTTATAACTTGTAAATTCCGATAATACAATCATATTTGTAAAGATTTCTTCACCAGAATTCTAATATAAACAGCATATCTAAATTATTATAGTAGCTTATGTAAACTCTTGGATTCGTCTACTAATTGATTTAGTTATATTTATATACACTGTTATTTTCCTGAGCACAGAAGTATTATGTGTAGAACATTCATGCAAAATAACACCACCTAGTCATAACAATATTGTTAAAATCAATTTCGATAATAAGTTTCTAATTATAAATAGAAAGTCATGCTTACAATCATCCTTATGTAAGTATACAAGAATTAGAATCCGGACAGCAATGACTGTAAATTTACAATAGTTAGTATCGAGGTAGCAATTTTCAATTTGTGAACTGTTCTACATTTTTTTATAACATTCTCAAAGAAAATCTGCATTATGGGTAAACAAATGCTGTTTAAGACTTCCCATCGTTGTACCTTTAATTTTACATATTTTACATTTATGAGGACGTTCTCGTGTTAGTACCTAAATTTTCTCACGTCAGAAATTAGTTATTTTGTCGTACAAAATTTATAATTAGTTCCATCAGTTTTAATAAGTTACTAATAAGTTAGTGAGCTGAGTGATCCTCGCCTCTGGGTGCAGGTAGAATTTTTGTTAAAATGATCCCCATTAGTGGGGACATAGTGTCAAACAATGCTGGTGATGCAATCAATAAATCACACAATAATTTGAACACAACGCTATGTTCAGGTATATCAGATATAGCCCGAAACCCGCTGACCAGCTCATGCGACGGTATGACTAGTAAAGTAGAACCAGTGGCTGAACTGTCACATATAATTCCGGAAAATGTCATTTTACAACGGAATGAGTCATTGAAGTGCCTTGAGAATCTGATAAATGAACTGCATATGATTGTCAAATCAAAGTCAAACATACATAAAGAGGTGAAAATAAAAACAGGCAACATAGCGGCCGTAATTAAAAGATTTATTGATTTAGACAACCAATTGTTAGAGGAAAAAGGCCGAACCACGGATGATACGGAAGTTATGATAAATGAAGTGCAATGTTGTGAGACAGCCCCTATAGAAAAAAGTGTACGGCAGGACACAAGCAAAGCCACAAGAAACCGAAACTCACAACATATAAGCAATAATCAGGTTAATGAGAAAAATGGTTTGCCAAGACGTCAGACGATCATAGAAATATGTAATGAAGATAAAATCGAGGTAAATGACTGGCATAAAGTTCAGCCGAGAAAACAGAAAAAAAAGGAAGCAAGGGTACATCTGTCAGAACAGGACTCTAACCATAAAATGATAAAAAATCATAGAATTTTTCCAAAACCAAATGCCTTATTAATCCGGCCGACCGAAAAAGTTAATTATTCCGAAATATTACGTCGCATCAAACATGATGTCCCTGATGACAAGGTAAATACGACAGTAGAGAAAATAAACAAAACCAGAAATGGAGACTTGTTGATAACTATTTCTAAGAAAAGTGAGGACAAAGGCCAAGGACTGCAACAGATTATCGCAGGTGTGTTAAAGGATGAGGCCGAAGTTATTTATAAGGGGCACCAAGAAACTAATAGAAATAAGGGATATTGATGATGAAACCTCAAAAATTGATATCCAGATAGCACTACAAAAAGCAACCGGGGGAGCCTGCAACACACCAGCAGAAGAAATTAGGCTTCGTAAGGCATATAGAGGTACCCAGATTGCTACTGTAGCTCTTCCAGCGGCAGTTGTACACGATCTGCTCAAAGCAAGTAGCAAAATACGAATTGGATGGGTCAACTGTCAAATTAAAATCAT